TTTCAGGTGTCGCTGGACCAAATTTGCATGAACGTCCCATGTGGGGCCGACGAAATCTGCCCAAAACGGTCCCCAATTCGTCCCAAAGCGGCCCGAGGTAACCCCCAAACATGACCAAAATATTCAAATCCGTTTTGGGAGGTGCCATCATGTGCGTGGCACCCCGAAGCGGTCTAAAACGACGGCTCCACTGGGCCTCTAGATGGATGCAGAGAGGTTTCTAATGCGCTACTTCGGGAAGAAGTCTGAGGAACGCACATTCTAATGTCCTGTGGCAAAAATAGTGACCGCACCCCCTGCCCCCCCAGGATCCCGAGTGTCATGAAGACGCCGGCGTTTTCTTCCCCCTGGAAACTATTTGACGAAATGCGAACTTACGCGTGGATTGTAAACATGTACGCGCGAGCAGTCATTGGAACATGTGTTCGAACTTCTTGCGTGTTCGAACTTCTTGCGTGCAGATGTATAGGCTTCTCCGGTCGACGAGTAAATAGTTCTCGTCTTACTGGAACGGTGTACGAGCATGCGCTTCCCACACAGCATGCACGATGCGCGTGGGCCGCCGCGCGCGCGTGGGTCGCCGTGCGCGCGGCTGCCCATTGCCCCTCGCGTATTGCTTTTTCCATGCAAGATGCGCGTGGGCCCTCGCGAAGTGTTTCTTCCATGTAAGATGCGCGTGGGCCGCCGCGCGCGCGGCGGCCGATAGCTGTTCGCGCGTTGTGTTTGTTCCATGCGAGATGCGCGTGGGCCGCCGCGCGCGCGCGGCGACTCGTGGCCTCTCGCGCGTAGTGTGTTTCCATAAGGTGCGTGCCGCCCCCCGCGCGGCGGCCCAGTGTTTTTTTGCGCGCTGTGTTTTTCCTTGCTTGGTGCGCGTTGGCCGCCCCGCGCGCGGCGGTCCATGGCCCCTCGCGCATAGTACTTTTCCCATGCAATATGAGCGTGGGCCGCCGCGCGCGCGCGGCGGCCCAAAGCCGCGCGTGGGCTGCCGCGCGCTCGGCGGCCCATTGCATCTGACGTGCTGTTTTTTTTATGCGCGCCGTGTTCTTCCATGCCAAATGTGTGTGGGCCGCCGCCCGCGCGGCGGCCCATTAGCCCACGCGCATTGTGTTGTTCCATGCAAGATGCGCGTGGGGCGCCGCGCGCTCGGCGGTTTTGGTCCCTCGCGCAGTGTGCTTGTCCATGCAAGATGCGCGTGGGCCTCCGCGCGCGCGGCGTCCCGTGGCCCCTCGCGCGCGGTGTTTTTCTATACGAGGTGCGCGTGGGCAAAACACTAACGATGCAAGATGCGCGTGGGCCGCCGCGCCCGCGCGGCGGCCCTGTGCCTCTCGTGCATGGTGTTTTTTTCAATGCAGGGTGCGCGTGGGCCATTGCTCGCGCGGCGGCCCATGACCCCTCGCGCAGTGCGTGTTTCCGTGCAAGATGCGCGTGGGCCCCCGTGCGCACGGCTGCCCTGGCCACTCGCGCGTTGAGTTTTCCATGCAGGATGCGCGGGGGCCGCCGCGCGCGCTGCCGCTCATTGCCTCTCGCGCATTGTGTCGTGCTGCTCCATGCAAGATGCTCGTAGGCCGCCGCGCGCGCGGCGACCCATGGCTCCTCGCGCATTTTTTCCACGCATGTGCGTGGGCTGCTGCGTGCGCGGCGGCCCTGGCCGCTCCCGCGTTGAGTTCTTCCATGCAGGGTGCGGGCGGGCCGCCGCGCGCGCGGCGGCCCATAGCCCCTCGCGCAGTGTGCTTACCCATACAGGTTGCGCCATAGCGCATTGTGTTTTTGCACATAAGATGCGCGCGGGCCGCCGCGCGCGCGCGGCCCTGGCCCCTCGCGCATTGGCTTCCCCAAGCAAGACGCGCGTGGGCCGCCGCGCGCGCGCGGCAGCCCATTACCCCTCACGCTTTGTGTTGTTTCTATGCAAGATGCGCGTGGGCTGCCGCGCGCGTGGCGGCCCGTGGCACCACGCGCGTCGTGGTTTTCCATGCAAGACGCGCGTGGGCCGCCGCGCGCGCGTCGGCCCTTGGCGCCTCGCGCAGTAGGGTTTCTCTGTGCAAGATGAGCATGGGCCGCCGCGCTCGCCGCGGCCCATGGCCCCTCGCGCATTGTGCTGTGCTTTTTAATTCAAGATGCGCGTGGGCCGCCGCTGGCGCGCGGCGGACAATGGCCCCTCGCGCATTGTGTTTTTCTTTGCAGGATGCGCGTGGGCCGCCGCGCGCGCGGCGGCCCTGGTCTCTCGCGCATGTTGACTTTTCATATAAGGTGCGTGTGGGCCGCCGCGTGCGCGGCGGACATGGCCCCTCGCGCATAGTGTTGGTTCCGTGCAAGACGCGCGTGGGCCGCCGCGCGGGCGGCGGCCCTGGCCCCTCTCGCATGGTGGTTTTTCCAAGCAGGACGCGCGGGGGCCGCCGCGCGCGCGGCGGCCCATGGCCCCACGCGCGCTGTGTTTGCTCCATGCAAGATGCGCGTGGGCCGCCGCGCGCGCGGCGGCCTTGTGCCCCTCGCGCATGGTGTTTTTTTGATACAATGTGCGCGTGGGCCGCACCGCTTGCGCGGCGGCCCATTGCCATTCGCGCACTGTGTGCTTCCATTCAAGATGCGCGTGGGCCGCCGAGCGCGCGGCGGCCCATCGGCATTCGCGCATTGCGTTTTTCCATGCAAGGTGCGCGTTGGCCGCCGCGCGCGCTGCGGCCCTGGCCCCTTGCGCTTTTTGCGTGTGCCATGCAATGCGCAGCCGCGCGCACGGCGGCCGTGGCCCGTTGCGCATTGTTTGTTCCGCGCAAGATGCGCGTGGGCGGCCGCGCGAGCGGCGGCCCTGGCCCCTCGCGCATTGTGTGTTTCGGTGCAAGATGCGCGTGGGCCACCGCGCGTGCGGCGGCCCATGCCACCTTCGTGCGTTGTGTTGTTCCATACGAGGTGCGCGTGGGCCATCGCTCGCGCGGCGACCTTGGCCCCTCGCGCATTTTGTGCGTTCGTGCACGATACGCGTGGGCCGCCGCGCGCGCGAAGGCCCTTGGCATCCTCGCGCGTTTTGTTCGCCCATTCAAAGTGCGCGTGGGCCATCGCTCGCGCGGTGGCCCAGGCCCCTCGCGCATTGTCTTTTTTCATGCAAGATGCGCGCGGCGGCTCTTGGCCCCTCGCGCGTTGCGTTTGTCATGCAATATTCGCGTGGGCCATCGCACGCGCGGCGGCCCATGGCCCCTCGCAAGATGTGCGAGGGCCGCGGCGCGCGCGGCAGCTCTGGCGCTTCGCTTCGCCGCATGTGCATGCCAGATCCGCGTGCGCCGCCGCGCGCGCGGCGGCCCTCAATCCGAAAGTCGCCATGCTGGCCTGCGAATTCAAGTGAACCCGCAGCGGTTGCCGGTTTGTGTTCCAACTTAATATACGGTCCTTACGTTTTTGTTTATCGATGCGGCCTACAATGCGCCGACGCGCCCGCGCGCGCGCGTCCGGCGTAAACCCGCAGCCGTTGCCGATGGGATTTCCCATTTAACACGCGGCCTTCATATTTGTTTTCGTCCATTGGTGCAGCCTACAATGCGCCGACGCGCGCGTTCGCGTGGCGGGTTCTGTTTTGTCGGCAATAGGAAAGTCGCCTTGCTGGCCTTAGAGCTTACGTGAACCCTTAGCGCTTGCCGATTGGAATTCATTTTGCACATTCGGTCCCTACGCTTTCGTCTATTGGTGCAGCCTACAATGCGCCGACACGGGCGCGTAGCGGTTTCTGTATTGCCAGCAATAGGAAAGTTACCATGCTGGCCTGGGAACTGGAGTGAACCGTTAGCGTTTGCTGATTGAAGTTCCACGCTTTACATGCGGCCTTTACGTTTTCGTATATTAGTGTAGCCTACAGTGCGCCGGCGCGCGGGGGCGCGCGTGGCGGCTTTTGTGTTGCCCGCAATGGGAAGGTCGCCATGCTGGCCTGGAAACAAGAAGTGCACCCTTAGCGGTCGCCGATGGGAGTTCCCATGTAACCTGCGGTCTTGAAGTTTTCGTCCATTGGTGCAGCCTACAACGCGCCGACGCACGCTATCGCGTGGTGGTCTCTGTTTTGTTCACATTAGGAATGTCGCCGTGCTGGCCTGAGAACTGAAGCGACCTTTTTCTAACGGTGACTGATTGGGTCCAAGTTGGAATGCGGTCTTTTACGGTTTCGTCTATCGGTGAAACCTACAATGTGCCGACGCGCGCGTGTGGCGTATTTGTATGGTTCGCGATGGGAAAGTCGCCATGCGCGGGTCACTGCACTCTGGGCATCCTGTTTTGGATGCCCAGAGTGCACTCTCCAGAGTGCATTCTGGTGAGTGCAATCTGGTTAGGCGATGGGGCTGAGAGTACACTCATGATGAGGGCCCGCGCCGACTGTCGTTTCTGAATGTCGGCGCCGACTGTGACTGACGAGTGTCGGCGCCGAGTGTCGGTGCCGAGCGTCGATGACAAGCGTTGGCGACGATCGTCGTTGACGCGCCGAGTGTCGGCGCTGATCGTTGGTGACGCGGGGTGTCTCTAAATATCTGCCCCCCCGCGCGAATTCAACGCAGGAATTAGCCCCTGGACGCGGAGTGTCAGGGCGGTCGCGGGGACGTCCCCAGCGGTCCAGTTTGTCCCGCCTTCTTTTTGTTGCATTCGCACTACAGCGCCGCGAATAATCATCATTTTAACTGTCCCCCCCAGATAGTTTTCAAAAGTGTTTTTAGAGATGCTTGACCAGCCGCCAAGACGGCTGTCGGCGTCATCCTTCTCCTCTGCCGCCCTCCCTTTGCGCCACCCCGCCGTCCATTTCTCCTTTCCTCCACCTTCCCCAGTCTCGGCAGGCGTGGTAGTCACAGTGGCACCGTTCACTCTCTGCGAATCCCGGCCTGCTCCGCCAGATCAGTGCTGTTGAAACCATGCGCGTCACCAGGGGAAAAAGGGGGGTGATGCTGGCATGGATACACACGACGCGCATCACAGTTTGAACGGTCCCTGTGGGCAGTTTGCTTTCGTCCACCGGGGTCGCATGCTTGAATCTGACCTTGGCAGCTGTTTTAGCAGTTGCGAGTGGGCCTGCGTGCGGGGCGTGGCCGGCCGGTGGCAGCCTCGCGATGGACGGGAGATTCGACGATGCTTTGATCGGACTGGCCGAGAAGCATAAAGGCATCGAGGAAGGCCGGTTTCCTGGGGGTGGGACGCGGCAAGTTTCAGGGAACGAAGGAACGGCAGGGAAGGAACTCGGATGGGTTTGCGGGGTGCTAGTCGTTGATATCTTGTAGCTCGTTGTGCGATGTTTCGTTCTACGCTGATGTGTTTTCGACGTGATTGATTTGGTCTGGGAATCGGGCCGGTTTCAGTCGATCTGGGCCTGATCCAGGGACAGTTGTGGGCACGTTCATGGGGCGAGAAAGCGGAGCACACGTCATCATGCAGATGCGGGGCATGCCAAGTTTAGCTTGCAGGACGCAGGGCAGATGCTGCAAGGCGTACCAACGAGAAGCATCGTTTCGGTATTGCTCTGCTTAGGGGCAAGAGGTGCCACGGTACGGTAGATGACTCAAGTATTTTCGTTCGCGTAGTTGCTCGACAATCCAGATCGCGTTTTCAGTCCGCCGCCTCTTGTCTTAGACTTTCCCACGTAATAATTTTTTTTTCGTGTACGGCGATCGTTGCTGCAGAACCAGGACCCGATTCGACTTTTCGAGGCTGCGTGTCAAGGACATTCACCCCAAACGAGCATGTCCATGACAACCAAACTACTGGGTATTCACAGATCGCGTGCCATTCGCAGCAGTGCCATCCCATGTGCATCGTGCTTACAGGATATCCTGTACACTGTGATGAGCTTCTACGAGCGCCACACGGCAGGGCCCGATTTGGGGCAGCATCCTCGGCTCGCTTGTGAGACGTTGCGCTTCGACTCGTGCCAATCGAATGTAGAGGAGGTGGGGAGCGGACGAGGCGAGAGCAATCATGCCAGAGAAATACAAGAGAAACCAGACAAGAGGACAGGAAGCGAGGGGAGGTGTGGGGACGGCAGGTCGTGAAGGGGCCGATGAAACGACAGGGCAGGGGAGGTGGATGAGAAGGGGCGGAGAAATGGGACGGGCAGGTGGCGGAGCGTGGGGTCCGAGAGGAGATACGAGGGGTGCGGGAGGGAAGCGGATGGACGGGGAGGTGGAGGGAAGGATAATCTATGTATCCAATTCAAGATTTCGTCTCAGTGATAGCTCAGGACTGCCCTCCGTGCAGCGTCTCGCAGGCGAAGCTTTGCAGATTCGCATGCTGGGTTGCTCATCTTGGGTAGGGGGGGCAGGCACGACGCCGTCCGGTTGTCCAGAGGCGATGTAAGTATACTTTCCTGGTGTGAGGTCTCCCCCTTCTTGCCTCTCTCTCCCTCTCTTTGTCTTTCTCCCTTTTTGTTTTTCTTCTCTGTCTCTCTCTCTCTCTTTCTCTGTCGCCAGAAAATGAATTATCCCAGTGCGACCCTACCTAGGAGTTGGAGCCCCTAGGAACGCAGCATTAGTAGTAACAATAAAGCTAAGCTAAAGCTAAGCTAAAGCTAAGCTAAAGCTAAGCTAAAGCTAAGCTGAAGCTAAGCTAAAGCTAAGCTGAAGCTAAGCTAAAGCTAAGCTACAGCTACGCTAAGGCTAAGCTAACACTAAGCTAAAGCTGAGCTAAAGCTAAGCTGAAGCTAAGCTAAAGCAAAGCTAAAGCTAAGCTAAAGCTAAACTAAAGCTAAGCTAAAGCTAAAGCTAAAGCTAAGCTAAAGCTAAGCTAAAGCTAAGCTAAAGCTAAAGCTAAAGCTAAAGCTAACGCTAAGCTAAAGCTAAGCTAATGCTAAGCTAAAGCTAAGCTAAAGCTAAGCTAACACTAAGCTAAAGCTAAGCTAACCCTAAGCTGAAGCTAAGCTAAATCTAAACAACAGCTAAGCTAAAGCTAAGCTAACACTAAGCTGAGGCTAAGCTAAAGCTAAGCTAAAGCTAAGCTACAGCTAAGCTAACGCTAAGCTAAAGCTAAGCTAAGGCTAAGCTAACACTAAGCTAAAGCTAAGCTAAAGCTAAGCTAACGCTAAGCTAAACCTGAAGCTAAAGCTAAGCTGAGGCTAAGCTAAAGCTAAGTTAAAGCTAAGCTAAAACTAAGCTAAAGCTAAGCTAAAGCTAAAGCTAAAGCTAAAGCTAAGGCTAAGCTAAGGCTAAGCTAAAGCTAAGCTGAAGCTAAGCTAAAGCTAAGCTGAAGCTAAGCTAAAGCTAAGCTAAAGCTAAGCTAAAGCTAAGCTAGAGCTAAGCTAACACTAAGCTGAAGCTAAGCTAACACTAAGCTGAAGCTAAGCTAAAGCTAAGCTAAAGCTAAGCTAAAGCTAAGCCAAAGCTAAGCTAACACTAAGCTAAAGCTAAGCTAACACTAAGCTGAAGCTAAGCTAACGCTAAGCTAAAGCTAAGCTAAATCTAAGCTAACACTAAGCTGAAGCTAAGCTGAAGCTAAGCTAAAGCTAAGCTAAAGCTAAGCTAAAGCTAAGCTAAAGCTAAGCTAAAGCTAAGCTAAAGCTAAGCTAAAGCTAAGCTAAAGCTAAAGCTAAAGCTAAAGCTAAAGCTAAGGCTAAAGCTAAGGCTAAAGCTCCCAGGGGACTGGGGGAACAGCGGGGCGGGGACTGGGGGAACCGCTCAGGGCGCTTTACACTGCCCGGCCCCTTTAAGCTAAGAGAGTAAGAACCCTCTAGGCAGAGCCTAGGTAGGGAAAAATATACACAGATGTACTGTATTGCACCTCCACCCCAATCGTACTACGCCAGCGTCGTCGCCGAGTAACACTGCGTGGCATCACGCGTACATGTGGTAGCGATTCGCAAGCAATCAGGCCTTCGACTGAGTAAGAGCAATCACGCTTCGGCAGCGAGAAACACCGATTTAGCGAAGAGGCAGGCAGACAAGTTGAAGGGAACGAAAGAAGGAGGACTCGACGAATGTCGCATCAATCACGGGTATACACAAGCAATGAGACAATCTTTCGTCGAGGTGTCAACCTGACACGTGAACGCCCAGGCAAATTAGTCAGCAAGTCGGCAAACTATCAGACGAACATGCCAGCAAGTTAACGAGGCAAGGAGTGAAGGATCGGCCGAGCTGGCAAGCAAGCAAGCATGTAGGCAAACAGTCGCAGTAGCACGCAAGTAACAACAATACTTGATGCAAGCGCACGCAAGCGCACGCAAGTCATCAATCAATCAGGCAGGGAATTAGCTTGTCATGCAAAGCAATAGAGCGCATCGCGCGAGCGCATAGGCACCCGCATGAGTGCACATAGTTCATATAAGTACCTACGGCTGGATATAAACACACATATATATATATATATATATATGAGCACACTTCGTATATCAGCAACACGCTATCCAGCTTCCTGCGGCAAGTCCTGCCACCGTGCCAGCCCAGCATTTTGTGTGGTGACTGTTCGAGCGGGCAGAGGAGGCCGTGTCTCTAGTCTTGGGAGTGCCAAGATGAGGATGATGAGGGTTGATGATGAGGATGATGATGACGATAATGATGATGATTATGCTGATGATGCTGTTGCTGATGATGATGCGATGATGATGCTGCTGATGTTAATGTTGTTCTTGATGCTGATGCTGTTGTTGATGATTATGAGGGTGATGGTGCTGATGATGATTGTGACGGTGATGGTTATTAAGATGGTAATGATGATGGTGGTCGTGATGCTGATGATGATAAGGGTGATGGTGATGATGATGCTGATGACGATGATGATTCTGATGATGAGGACGATGAAGATGAAGATGATGATGATGATGATGATGATGATGATGATGCCGGTGGTGATGATCGTGATGATGATGTCAATTATGGTGATGATGATGCTGATGAGGATGAGGATGACGATGACGATGACGATTATGATGATGGTGATGATGATGCTGACGATAATGATGACGATTCTGATTATGATACTGATGATGAGGACGATGATACTCGTGATGATTACGATGCTGATGTTGGTGATGATGCTGATGATGGTGCTGATGATGCTGATGATGCTGATGATGATGTGATGATGATGACGCTGATTATGCTGATGATGATGGCGAGGCTGACGATGCTGATGATGATACTACTGACTTGTGATGATGATGATGATGATGATGATGATGATGATGGTGATGGTGATGAATATGATGATGATGCTGCTGCTGATGATGATGATGATGACGAGGGTTGATGATGATGATGATGCTGATGATGATGATGACGATGATGCTGCTGCTGATGATGATGATGATGATGATGACGATGTCGACCACGACGACGACGATGATGATGTTGATGGTGATGATGATGATGATTAGGATGATGATGATGATGATGATGATGATGATGATGATGATGATGATGATGATGATGATGATGATGATGATGATGATGATGATGATGCAGCTCGTTTTGGCCCTCTTGTGGCTGCCTTCGCCTCCTGGGAGGCAGTCTTGGGGGTCCCTTGGGGCCTTCTTGGGCCGCCTTGGGGCCCTCTGGCGCCGGCTCGGGGGTCCCTTGGGCCGTCTTTCAGCCCTTTTGGCCGTGTTGTGGGTGCCTGGGGGCTGTTGTGGGGCCCTCTTGGCGCCGTCTTTGGCACGTCTTTGGAAAGCCCTCTTGGGCCGTCTTTGGTCTCACGGAAAGCCCTCTTGGGCCGTCTTTGGGGCCGTAGGAGTACTCTTGGGCCGTCTTCAGCCGACGGCAGACGCAAAGGCGGAACCGCTAAGTCATTCAAGGACCCAAGTGAATTCAAGGATTCTGGCTTCTTCGGATCCTGTCCGAGGTCCTCTTGTGGCCGTTCTGCGCCCTCTTGGACGCATCTTGAATCAATATTCGGTCCTCTAAGCGCCATCTTAGGCCGTCTTCGAGGCGTCTTGGGCCATCTTGGTGTGCTTGGTTGCCTGTACGGGCCGTCTTGGAAGCTGTGGACGCATCTCCATCTTTTTAACCAGGGATCGTGGCTTGGGAGGCCCTGGAGCGCTTGGCAGCAGCGCCTGGGAATGCCGGAAATGCACCATCCTCGAGCGGGTGCGCGTGGTGGGATGAGGGGCCTAGGAGTTGGCAGCCATGCGGGAAGTGCACCATCCTCGAGCGGGCGCGCATGGAATGAGGGATCAGGCATGAGCTGCTACGCCAGAAGTGCACCATCCTCGAGCGGGCACGAGTGGAACAGGGGTTCAGGCATGAGCTGCCGTGCGGGAAGTGCCCCATCCTCGAGCGGGCACGCCGCGTGGAATACGGGTTTAGGCATCAGCTGCCATGCTGGAAGTGCGCCATCCCCGAGCGGGCACGAGGGAACTGGCCACTCTTCTTCGGGGGGATGCACGCAGGAGTCTGCTGGTACAGGGAGGGGCGATCCCTTATCCGCCACCGTGCCGGAGGGCACGGAGTAGGCGTGTCCTCAGATCCTGCCCCTAATCCTCTAAGCGTCAATCCTCACTCCTGAGGGGTCTTTCAGGGGCCTGGAGTCCACATGGCCAAATCTCCCGGGGCTTGGCGCAGCTTGGCGCGGCTTTTCGCTTGACTTTTCGGATCCAAGAGGCCCCCAAGACGGGCCAACATGGTCCCGAGTCTCTCGTCTTCGTTTCTTGTCCGCCCTCCCCTCTGTTTCTTCTCTCTCACCGCGTCCCCCTGCTCCGTCTCTTTCGCCTCTTCGACGTTTCTGTCACAAGCGCGCTGCAAGGTTGAATCGTGGCCGGCTGTGTCGATAGACGGCCCGCCATTGCGCAACGTTCAGGTTCAGTCGGCCGACGCTGTGCGTGTCTCAGGCTTCGGGAAAGAAGAAGGAAGGTCCAAGAGAGCCCCGAGTCGCCGAACGATCG